GGGGCTTGGGGGGTTGGGGGAACGGGGCGGGAAGATGGATAAACTGACCATCATCTCAGGATGTCTCTCTCTGGCTGCGGATATCTTCACCATCACCAGCATAGCCAGTCCAGACTGGGTCAACACCGGGAAGTCAGCAGGAGCACTCATGGTGGGCCTTGTGCGACAGTGTCAAACAATCCATGGACTAGACCAGACATGTATCCCACCCTGACTCCCCCCAGTATGGGCCACCACACTTTTTAATTATCATGGGAATCATTTAATTGACTGTCACATGTGGTTTACTGGTGGCTTCTCACTGGTGTAGAGAAGCCACAGAATATGCCTGATGGATAGCATTCACTGGAATGATCCTTTTCTGTATGGCTGCCCTAATATTTCCAATAGGATTTTACATCAATGAAGTCAGAGGTCAACTGTATAAACTACCCAACAACACAGTGGTTGGGTCATCATTTGTACTGTTTGTCTTATCAATTTTCTTTAGAATAGTATGACTTCTGTTTGCTGGCAAAGTCTGTTTACCAGGCTGATGAATGTCTAAATTGCTTGACTCTCTTATTATTTTTTATTTTATTTTATTTTATTTATTCTTGGAGGGTGGGGAGAACAAAGGCAAGGCATCTGAGCAGTCCTCTTGTAGGAAGATACTTAGATGAAACTGGTGCTGACAAGAAAAAAATGCTCTGATCCGTTCTCACTATGCACTTTGGATTAAAAAAAAAAATAAGGAGAGCCTTTTCCATAACCAAATACAGACAATATTGACTAAATCTCCTGAGTGTTTTTAGGCAATCAGGTCTACACTGTGATAGCAACCTAGGGAAGGAGAATGCTTTATATTGAAAAGCATGAGGCCCTTTGTGACTTTGTTCCATTTTTAACATCTAATGATTCATTTGAGAAGAAAAAAAAAGTCTAGGTATTTATGAATCATGGTGGACCAGAGGGATGCAAGAGAACTTCATGTGGGGCTGGCCTCACCTCCTAAGAAATTAGTGTTCACAACTTCCTTGTAATGGTATAAGCCTTTGGCACCAGAATGGATGCCGTTGCATTACTGCACTAAGAAGCCAATAGATCAACTGTTGTTTGCTAAAATGTGTGTAAAAATTCAGAAATTCCCTATTCTCTGTGTACAAAAAAAAAAAGATAAAAGAAAAATCAAACACTAAGAGACGTGTTGTTTGGAGTGGGTGGGTGGGGGAAATCTTCCTTATATTTATATAAATATATATATTTTGCTGATGCAATATACAGTGTGTATATATGTGTGTGTGTGTGCATGTGTGTGTAAATTTATATACATGTGCATGCAAATAATTCCTGGAAGAGAGCTCTGAATGCTTTGCTAGCAGAACACTGTGGTGTGCAAACTTAGAACTCAATGGAGAGAAAGCCATTAATCTGAAGGCTGCATAGTGGAGAGAGTCTTCAGTTTACCTCGTTCTTTGTAGTAGCCCTTGATTTTAACAGGTTTTTGTAATAGGTACAAATAATCCCATACCTTTCTAGGTGCACTTTTAAAGTTAAGCTAAAAATTCTTTGTAGGGTTAATTTATTTGTATATGATAGTAGAAGGTAAGATCATGTCAAACTTTATAATTTGGGGAATCTGACACTATTTAAATTATTGTCAACTGTTGTCTATTGTACAGAGATTCTTTTTTCCACTGGCTCAGTCTGTTACATTAATGATGCATTTTTACATGTTCAAGCACAGAATTTTACATAAATACAAAGTTCACAAGTAAATATCTGGCTATTTTGGCTATTTACAACACTGAGTTCACTCTGCCATAAACATTTAAATTTATGTTCTTTTCATTTTTAAGTATTACTAATACATCTTTACCAAAAACTTGAGCAATACAATAGTTTCTTTCTATGCTACATGCCTATTTTGCTAAAAACTAACATTTTTGCATTTATTTTAAAGGGCTGTACTAAACCCACAGTTTTAAGTTTTTTCTTAAAAGAAGCATTACAGCTAACCCTTGGACTCAAAGATAGTTTTAAAATACAGAATTCTCTTCTCCGCATTTCCATGCCTTCATGTCAGTGCTTAGTTGTTTATCCTCATGAACATTATAGATGATCTCCTGTTTGAAATGTAGGGCATGAGAGTGTTTTATGACGTGGAGCTAAGTTTTTCCTTTTTCTAGTGAAATAGCAACCCAAATATCCCTATCAGTAGAGTTAGGGTCCCGTGGAGTCCATATTTCACAAAGAAGAAATGAGTGCACCATTTTTAAAGAAACTAGATTATAACTTATAGAATGACTGGTTCAGAGATGGGGTTACCTCCTCAGATACTCAAAGTACAATATGGAAGAGTTTGATGTGTTTGACACTGGCTTGTTGACATCCATATGTCTTACTGTTCATGCAGCAGTATTCTATTGTAAAATACAACCCCAGGGTTTCAGCTCCCTTGGAAGTCCAGGGGAAATGGTACCACTACAGTGGTACATTCTTTGAGTGTTCTGAGGGATGTTGTACTTTTCCTTCCCAGGGTAAAAGAAACCTTTGGGAAATCCTGAAGGAGTCTCCTCCCCTCTACCCCAAGTATTATGATGTCTGGTCAGTTCTAGGAATACCACTGGATATGTTCTGTGGACATTTGGGATTGCTGTTCCCATTGTGATTGGGTAAGTCTTCTATCAAATGAATCACTTCGAAGGAAGGCTTTGGTTGTCACCATTATACCACTGAAAAAAAGTGTTAGCAAAGTATGGTTAAATTAATTTATGATATGACCAAGAGCTTTTTTCTCTTCCAAAAGGAGAATTTTATTGTAAATAGTTTCTCAAAATATTTTTAACTGGATCATAAGCATGAGGAGAGAAAGTTTCTCAGCTGCTAAGAATTTCCCCACTGTTGGGAACCAGCAGTTAGCGTAATGGCTATGTCGCTGGACACCCACGTAGTCGACCGCAGTTCACGTCCCGGACCTGGTGGCTTAAAACTCACGCCGGGTGCGTGTGCGTGCGTGCCCAAGATCCCGAGAGGAGAATGGAGGGGAAGGGATTGCGGCGTGACCATCCCCCCTGGGGGGTGATATCTCGCTTTCTGTCTCTAATGTCTCTCTCTGTCCATGGTCCCCTCACGGGAAAATCTCCCCAAAAAAAAAAAAAAAAAAAGAATTTCCCCACTGTTCACTTCTTTCACCTGCAGTGGTATTGCATCTATGATTACAAAATTTAAGGTTTTACTTGTATCTGTTACCCAAACCATTGTGCTGTTTTTAATTTCATCATTGTCTTGGTGGTCCAAGTGCTTAAAGCATTGATAGGGGGAAACTCCTAGCTAGTCAGTACTCTAACCCAGAATTAAAACCATCCCATCAAATAGTATGTGAAGTCAAGTCTTTGTACTCTTCCAGACCAAACATTGAAATGGACTCATTCATACAAATTTCTATAAATCCTGTAAGTGAAAAGGTAGACAACTGTCAGCAGTTGCTTTTAAAAAGGTCACTATAATAAGTACTATATAGTACAGTATTAATTTATAGCAGGAAATCATATCTTGTAAACTGTATATAAAACACTGTTTTATGGTGCAATCATTTGTCAAAACTTTTGTCTGGTGCAGTCATTGATCAAACTTTTGTCAGTTACATTGTTTTTAGAGTGAGTGCGTGCATTCCTCTCATACCTAAGAATATCACTGTACAATCTGCTGAAAACTATTTTTAGGTTTTATTTGCACAAGACTGAATTAGTTTGAAATTCTTGGAAGCTCCTATTGAACATGCCTAAACATCTGTAAACATGAAAAACCTTCAGTTCATTGAAAGCAAATTCCAAATGGTTCTTTCCAAAGGTAATCCATGTTCTATGTTAACCTGTATATGTAATTTTTCTGACTCTTCCACTTCTTATAAACCTATGTTCTGTTTCATTTGTTTTCTTTTTGAAGGATGGCTGTGTTGTTGTTTTCTTTTTAATACTTTATTGGTTTTTACCCTTTTGCCTAGAGCTTTGATATCCCCATTCTGTGAGTTCACTGTTAAATCTCTGAAGTGAAATAATAAGTAGTCCTGGTGACAAACAATTTATTAATTTAAATGAAAGACCCTAATAAAATATTGGAAACTGACTTTGGTTATACTCTTAGCTCTTATTTTGCATTGTGGGCTTCATGGGAAGAACATGTTGCATTTATTTTGTTCTTATTAAAGGTCTACTAGCTGGGACCAGCAGATGGTGTAATGGTTATGTTGCTGGACTTCCACACAGTCGACCGCAGTTTGCGTCTTGGACCTGGCAGCTTAAAACTCACACTGGGTGCGTGTGCACATGTGCTCAAAATCCCGAGAATGGAGGAGAAGGGACTGCAGTGTGGCCATCCCCCCTGGGGGGATGGGGGGATGATTTCTCACTTTCTGTCTCTCTCTCTCTGTCTCTCCGGTGAGCACATGCACCCTATAGCAAAAACCTCTCTAAAAAAAAAGATTACTAGCTAAAAGTTATCACGCCGGGTGCGTGTGCGTGCGTGCCCAAGATCCCGAGAGGAGAATGGAGGGGAAGGGATTGCGGCGTGACCATCCCCCCTGGGGGGTGATATCTCGCTTTCTGTCTCTAATGTCTCTCTCTGTCTGTCTGGCGAGTGCATGCGCCCTACAGCGAAAATCTCTCCAAAAAAAAAAAAGAATTTCCCCACTGTTCACTTCTTTCACCTGCAGTGGTATTGCATCTATGATTACAAAATTTAAGGTTTTACTTGTATCTGTTACCCAAACCATTGTGCTGTTTTTAATTTCATCATTGTCTTGGTGGTCCAAGTGCTTAAAGCATTGATAGGGGGAAACTCCTAGCTAGTCAGTACTCTAACCCAGAATTAAAACCATCCCATCAAATAGTATGTGAAGTCAAGTCTTTGTACTCTTCCAGACCAAACATTGAAATGGACTCATTCATACAAATTTCTATAGACCCTGTAAATGAAAAGGTAGGCATCTGTCAGCAGTTGCTTTTAAAAAGGTCACTATAATAAGTACTATATAGTACAATATTAATTTATAGCAGGATATCATATCTTGTAAACTGTATATGAAACACTGTTTTATGGTGCAGTCATTGATCAAACTTTTGTCAGTTACATTGTTTTTAGAGTGAGTGCGTGCATTCCTCTCATACCTAAGAATATCACTGTACAATCTGCTGAAAACTATTTTTAGGTTTTATTTGCACAAGACTGAATTAGTTTGAAATTCTTGGAAGCTCCTATTGAACATGCCTAAACATCTGTAAACATGAAAAACCTTCAGTTCATTGAAAGCAAATTCCAAATGGTTCTTTCCAAAGGTAATCCATGTTCTATGTTAACCTGTATATGTAATTTTTCTGACTCTTCCACTTCTTATAAACCTATGTTCTGTTTCATTTGTTTTCTTTTTGAAGGATGGCTGTGTTGTTGTTTTCTTTTTAATACTTTATTGGTTTTTACCCTTTTGCCTAGAGCTTTGATATCCCCATTCTGTGAGTTCACTGTTAAATCTCTGAAGTGAAATAATAAGTAGTCCTGGTGACAAACAATTTATTAATTTAGAGGAAAGGTCCTAATAAAGTATTGGAAACTGAAAAAAAAAAGAGCTTCTTTTTAGCATTTTTTTAGCTCCAGTCTTATGACAATGGTTATATTCAGCTTTTCTTTTTGTGAAAATGTTTTTATTTACCCCTCAGTTTTTTTTTCATTTCTAAAAATATTTTATTTTAAAATATAAACATAATGTCTGTCTTAAAGTCATGATTTCCATATTGTTATACTATTAAAAAAGAAAAGATCATTATATTCCAATAACATACATAAATCTCTATGAAAAGCCTTTCTTTTTAAAAATTTTTATTTTTTATTATCATCATAATCTTTATATTACATTGGACTGCATATAACTTTACAGTGTATTACATTGCTTTTTCAAAAGGGAATGCTATGCATGTCAGTCAATACAGAGACATTAATCTCCCCTCTTCAACATTCAATATCTTTTCCATGTTTTCCCCAATCATCATTATTATTATTATTATTATTTTTTGAAACAGTCAATCGCTATTTCTCATTTTGCTTGTAAAAAGACTTTGACCATCATGAAATACTTCTCAGACCAATCCAGTTGAGAATACTATACATGTCATCATCAACAGTTAATAAGCCATATCTGTTCTTACCCCTCAGTTTTTAAGAATATTTCACAGGATTTCAAACTTCGAGTTGACAGTGTTTTTTTAAAATAATTATTTATTTAATTTTATTTATAATTACCCTTTTTAAAAACTTACTACAAGGCACATGCACTCACGAGAGAGACAGAAACAGAGAGAGAAAGAGAGATGATAGAGAGAAAAAGTAAGAAAGCAAGCTGCCAGGTTCAGGATTTAAGCTGTGGTTGGCCATGTGGGAGTCCAATGTCCCAACCACCAGACCACTTACTGGCCCAACAGTGTGTTTTCTTCAGTAGCACTCTCAAAGTGTTATCATGTTGTCTACCAACCTTGTTTTTGATGGGATGTTAGTCATTACTTGTATCATTGCTGCTCTCTCTGTATTTTATTTTCTGTTTTTAGGATTTTTAAATTTATTTTTTAGTGTTTGATATTGGTATGCTTAGAGTGGTTATTACTTCATTCATCCTGCTTGGATTTACCATTCTTTTTAGCTCTGTAAGTTGATGATTTTTATCAATTTTTGTTTGTTTTGCTATTGGGCACATGCACTTTCCAGAGAAGAAGAGAGTGAGAGGGAGAGAAATCACCCTGGGGGGAGGGGGTGGTGACGTGGCTATGCTTCTCCTCCATTTTCCTCTTGGGATTTTGGGCATGCATGCACACAAACACCCCAGTATGTTTATCAAGGTTCTGAGTCTGGTAATTGAACCATGTGGAATCCAGCCACCTTAACCTCCATGTTATCTGCTGGTTCACCAAATTTAAAAATTACCACTCATTATTATTTAAAATATTCTTTTATTCTATTCTCCCTTTAAGTCTTCTGTTACTAAATTTCATCTTTTTTTTTTTTTTAAGTTTATACATTTCTTCCATGAGCAAGAGAGAGAAAACACTCCCAAAAAAGTCTCAATGCCATGAGTTACCCCTAACCTTCAGTCAGCCCTGTATCATGGATGAGCACATGCCTGGCACACTCAGGTAGGTCCTTGTGCCACTGACTACTGGCCACCTTTGTGTGTGTTATTCTGCTATACATTGGCCCTCATGTAAATGAGACTGTATTCATTTTTTCAATCTTAAAATTGAATAATTTCTACTAAATCTGTCTTCAAGACTTTCAAGGTTCATACACATTGTAGCGTGCATCAGTATTTAATTCTTTTTCTATAGCTGAATAATTTCTACATATGTACCTACTACATTTTGTTTATCATTCATAAGTTGATAAGACATTTGTGTTTTTCCCCCACTTTATTTTTGGCTTTTTAAAAGCAAAGTAGCTGGGGGAACCAGCAGTTAGCGTAATGGCTATGTCGCTGGATTCCCACGTAGTCGACCGCGGTTCGCGTCCCGGACCTGGTGGCTTAAAACTCACGCCGGGCGCGTGTGCGTGCGTGCCCAAGATCCTGAGAGGAGAATGGAGGAGAAGGGATTGCGGCGTGGCCATCCCCCCTGGGGGGTGATTTCTCACTTTCTTCTATGTCTCTCTCTGTCTGTCTGGCGAGCGCACACGCCCTATAGCGAAAAACCTCTCAAAAAAAAAAAAAAAAGAAGTAAAGAAAAA